ATTATATTGTCAAAGGGAAAAAATCAACATGCGAAGTTGAGACTAATTTTACTTGTGAAGAATCATTATCTTCAGGACATAGAACTGATATGCTGACTATTTCTTCTAGTGATGAAAGTGATTTCGAACCAGTTCGCAAATTATGCTGAACACTCTCATATAGCGACAATAATTCTAAAGAAAAAATGTGAAAAAGATTAACTTTCATAAAAAAATTCTGTATTTTTTTTTTGAAAAATTTTTCTGTATAAATTTAGAGATTATATTTTTCTGAAATTTAATAAACTAGTCTATGATTGTTAACGTTTTTATAAAATTATGAATAAACATTTCAGAAAGAATATAGTAAGACTAATTATTTTTCAGAAATTTAATAAACCTTTTTTTATGCGATTTTCGGTATATTGTAACTCATTGATTTAGTTTTATGCGGTTTTAAAAAATTATGGAACGTATCCTTTATTTTTATACGTGTGTCTAGTCCTTTTTGTGCGATTTATTTTTATGCATTTTCCTGTGGAACGTATCTACCGCATAAAAAGAGAACCAAGTGTATTTAGCTTCTAGGAAAGTCATCGTTATCGGTTTTTACGTACCTAAGAGTATTCCACAAAATCATAAATTCATACGTTTATATGGAAATTCTGATTAACGTACATTTGGTTAGTTTATTAAGTAATAATGTTGGCGTTCTCATACATTAAGTATATACATTTATATGAATATTGACCGAACTACTGTACATAAGTTTATACGAACGTAAAAATATCCGTACGGACGTACATATAATTGTGAAAGTCATCGTTTCATTTCTGTGAAAATCAATATTAACGTTCCTTCTCTTTTAAAACTCGAAAGTAAAATGTACGTTGTACGAACACAGTACCAAAAAAATAGAAATGCAAACTTTTATATGGGAATTCCGATTAGCGTACATTTATTACAAGTAAAAAAATATTTCTTCAAATGCATTACATATATTTATATGAGAATTTGCTATTGTATTTACGTACATTCACTTAGCGTACATGATCTTATGTACGCATTGTGTAGCTTAACTGAACACTGATTCTAATTATTGCACATATTCCTAAAACACGATTATTTTTTGAGAATGATCACCAAGTAAAAATAAAATCATATTTTGAATTAATCTAATTATATAATCAAATTATTACTATAAATACTAGCATATGCATAATATAACTAATCTAAAAGCACTCTACATTTTTTTTTAAATTTAGATATGCATTAATTTTAACCTCATGATGTACTTGATACAACAATTTCATTGCATTATAATAATTTGAATTATACATGATGTGAGCACTTTATACATGTTACCGCCGCCTTATAAAGGCTACAATAGGGTTCACTTGATATTGCAGTATATAGTAGAAGACCGTTAGTCTGCCAACCTTTAATCCATCAAATAAAAAAAAATCTATGCCCAGAGTAAAATGATGAATACACATTTATATCTTCTTTATATGGTTTCCATTTACTAAATCATGTTTTCTTTTCTTCTTCCTTAACAAAATTATTTTCTCTTATCAATAGCAACAATATCATATCTATCACTATACAATGAAATTCACTAAATTATTAGTAAAAACTTTTTAGTATTATCAACTTGTTTTCATAGACAATTTCATAGAAATATTGCATTTTTTTGTAGAAATTAACATGAATAACAAAATAACTTGAATATTTAATTTATTGTAGAAAAATCCAAGAATTTCGACTAAGAATAAAAACTGTTGTTCATCAAAGAAAATTTCATATTGTTCTGAGTAAGGTAAGTCGTCAGCAAGAATATTAATGATTCATGGATTCATCATTTGATGAAAGTGCAGCTGTTATAAACATGTTAATAGGTGAATGCAATGAGTTCAGTCACATTAAAAATATAATGACTTCGAACTAAACATTTAGTATTTCAAGATCATGTAGTAATCGTAATAAAAATCAACACATTTCAGTGATGTCTAAATTAATTACAGATAGAATTAGGGGATTAAATATTAAAAAATATGAAAATCTTTATTTTTTTTTAAACTACTTTATTTTTGTTGAATCTACATTGAAAACATGAAAGTAATTAAAAAAAGAATGTCTATAATCTAACACATTTGTTTCGTTTCCACTATAGTCGTTCTTTCTAGATAGTGCAAATATCAGCAACGCCATGAGTCACCACGGGTATTAATATTAACCACTAGATGCCGTACAACAATTAAAATAAGCTCATCATACTCTATTTCAGGGGTGGCCAAACTGTGGCTCGCGAGCCGCATGCGGCTCTTCATGAGTCTTGTTGGCCAATTGAGCCACAACAAAATACAAATATTATATATATATTTTATATTATGATTGAGATTTTTAAAAAAATATTATACCAAAAAGTTTAGGTGAGGCATTCAATATATTCGGGTAGGTAACAATGGCTCTTGCTGCAAGTCTGGCCACCCTTGGTCTATTTAATCAGAAATACCGATGTCCTAACATAATATTTTGGTAAGAGTCTTTATAATCATCAAAATCTACAGGTGACCTCCAAATAACGTTTTAATTTTTGATTATTTACTGTTGGAAAAACAGATTTTTGTTGTTCCTCATAAACAGCTTGGGTCAAGTGAATAAAAACATCAAATACGAATAATAGTAGTTATTCATAACGGGTTCATCGAAGATAATGCAATGTTAAAATAATACAAGCTTCTATAAAATTCACCTTTTAACCACAAGTACTGTAAAATCTTGACTATACTGACATTACTTTTACACATTTTGAACACATTTAAGTCATTTAAAAAAAAATACGAATACAATCTTAAAAAGTTATGGGTGCGTATTATATACGCAATATAATGATGGAGAAATAAAGAACTTGTTTGACATGGTTGTGGTTGTCTATCTATCTTTTATGGAATATTTCCAATAATACAAAATTTTCCATCAGTTCTGAACGACTAGGAATTACATCCGGTGATAAAGTACCGTTAATCTCTTACATTTCGAAATACCCGTTCCATCTACCTAGGACAGTGTAATGAGATAGGGGTGACAATATTCTTACAGTTGAGTTGAAGACCGAATAAACGCTATATCCTTTTACACATCTCTTTCTTGACTTCTGATGAACATTTACAAGGATCTTCAACACTAAACCGACTATGTATACTAACCAAAAATATAAATAAAGAATTTAAAAATGAAACATTTATGACATCGCGACTAGTGGATGCAGTCCTAAAGTAAGTTGCAAAATATATCCTTATTATAACCTTAAAATTAATTTAGCTGCAATTTACTATAATAATGTAGTTCAAAATTTAAGTTAGGTGAAATAAATTTAATTACTTGTGAAACTTGCCTAGTTTAAACCAAATCAGTTTCTTGAATTCAAATTGTCCAAATAGAGGAATAGCTCAAAAGTTGTAATTAGTAGTAATTCCATATAAAACTTTAGGGTAAGACAAATGAAATTAAAATTATCAAATTTTGAATTAGAAACGGATAAAAAACAAATATAAACATTACATGTTTTTGACTTTTCTCAATTAATTTTATTGAAAATTAAAAAATATGTTGGTGATCCATATTCGATAATCTTATATATTTACTACTGGAGGATCTTGAGGTTGGAAACTGGCAAAGCTCTTAACAAATACAGATTCTACTATTATTACTGTCATACCATGCATCTTCTACATTACTGCTGCATAAAGCATGGAGAAACGGTCATAAAACAAATCACAAATGCAGCATCGCTCGTTTTTATTAATTTTCCAGAAGGACCACGAAATGCCAGACTGAATGTCACTCGCATTTCGGCGTTGGAAAAAGATTAATGTGTGCGCTCCTGCAACCGACCACGTGTTTTCTGCAATCTGCAATAAAGCTTTACAATTTGTTTCGTGCACGGTGCGATTTAATTATTTGCACACGAAAATGGTACCGGTCATCCATCCGTCCGGTTGTCCATGCAGCGTCCGCCTTCTGCGTTGCCTCCCACTGCAATTAATTGAATTATGCACATGCATTTGTTTATATTCAGCCGGGCAGAAAGACGTAGGGTCGTTAGCCCTATTTATGGTTTCGCGGAGGACAATAACGCCCTCACCGACTGCAATAAACAAGAACCTCCGGCGCTTGCCGCTCGCAAATATTTATTTGCCATATTTGTATAAATATATAAAGTAACCTTGGAACAGATACATTAATAAATGGTTTGATACTTTGTTGGCGTGGCAGAGTGCCAATGCTACGGACGACGTATAAAATAAAAGGAGCATCGTTACAGTTCTAGGAACATGTTATTTTCGGGTAGGCCACACACACAAATTTAACTCCTATCTGCATACATTACTTATTCCTTTGCATTCGCATCAATTATTATGATCTAGTGACAACCTTCAAACAATTGGACTCTACTGTCAAACTAGTGTCAAAGTCAATGGATCATCTATTTTCGTTGTTGCTTCGGTTCCGTCAAAAAAAATAATAGAAAAACAAATAGCGAATATGTTTTTACTATAAAAGTGTTGGCCTTGAAATAAAAGAAAATCAGCATAGTATAAAATTCTCAAAGCGGATGTTGGTTGTTTGAAAGTTCGCTGCGACGATGCTAGTTACTTTGAAGCTTCCGGACGGCCGATCGGCGAACCTTTTTTATATCAAGAAGAAGTGCAAAGACGGGCGTAAGTGTGGCATTAATTAAATTAAGTACTAGCCGTCGGCAGTAATTTCGTGCATCTTGGCAGATGCCGCATCTAAATGTCGTTTAAATGGCGCAAACAAATGACAACTAATATGGGTGTTTTTTTTTCTCCTAGCAGGTAAACAAAACAAGAAACAGTTGAAGGTTGTCAAAGTCAAGTCCGTGGAGATGAGCGAAGGTAACCTGAAGTTGAGGATGAACAACAACCGAGTGACGTATACCAACAAGAAGAATGCTCGCGATGAGAAGAACGTCGATAGAAAGAAAGTTATATTGAATTTGATAAAACCACAAGATATGGTGTTGCCAGTGCCGTCCGGCTTCGACTGCCGCTCCAAGATGGGTCAGTTCGGGTGGATATCTTTCGAGGTGAAACATATACCTTTCATATACAGGTACGAATCGACGAAATTGGTCGCGCTTCGGATCGTGAATCAGGTCATATTCCCGCGCTTCTTGAACTCCTTCCGCCAACTGCTGTTCGATTTTTTCGTGGTGAAGTCGTTCACGATGACGGACGTCGAAAGGCAACTCTACAACGATATCAATTTCAACCATTGCAACGGGGCGTACGGTCTGAACAGCTTCCAGTCCGGTGTGCAACTAGTGTCTCTCGATGACCTGACGAAGCTGTACGACTTCTTCGTCTTCGCCTACGGCAAGCTCAAGCTGAAGTCGAAGGAGCTGAGCTCGAACTACGGTTACATTGCGATCAACGGAAACAACAACATTGTGCCATTCGTGCGCATCAGAGATAGCATCTGTTTTCCCATCGTGTACTTCGATGGTGACTTCAAGTATCTCATCAAGTTCACGTTCCAAGTCGATGATTATTACACCGGAGTACTCAAATTCCTGATAAGGTTAATGAACGTCGAGCTGAAGTTCGACAAGATCCAAGTGATCACGCTGGATGAGATCAAGAAGTTCTTCGAGCCCAATACGACTTTCGAGCATACGTGGATTGGCAAGGAGTCGGATGTTTTTCTGAATACTGGCAAAGGAAGCAACGAATGCATCATGCGGGTTCAAAATGCAGATGAACCGGTGACACCACTGACGTCTGTCAACAAAACTGCAAATATTTACAACATGTGAATCTTATGCAAAGGTCAAAACTCCAAGATTTTATTAGATCTCAACTGTACAATCCCACTTTATAGTATTTAAATGTTACTCATTGTAAAATACTCAATGATATTCTTAGTAATTAAAGCATTGTTTACCAAGTCTAAGCTATTTTCCTTACATGTCTCCTGATAAAAAATAATTTAAAATACCTTCAAGCAACACATATAATTCATTTATTTTTACACGCTCTTCACACAATCTGATTCACTTAAATTTCATTTAAAATATTTCAAATAACAACATCATAAAAGTAAAATAAATTGATTCATGAACAAATAAGTAATTATCAATGTTTAAACATTTTATTTAATTACGCCATAACATTGAAAGGTTATCGACTTCTTGTTAATATACATTACTAATATTTTCCCTATCCTTGACTTAAAGTTTCAAAAACAACATCTTATTCTTCAACACTTCCATTTGTTTTTTGGTATCTAGATTGAAGTAATTAACAAAAAAAATCTTATTCGTGATCAACTTTTTTTTAAAGCTTTTGCCATGATCAATAATAATGACAGCTTTATAAAGTATACTTATTTTTTATAAAAATTAATGATATTGTGAAAAAATAATTATTAACTTACCTTTTGCCTTGATTATGAAACTTAAATAAAAGAGAAGAGGATAAACTAGAGGTCTGAATAAATTAATTCATTGATTATATAAAAATGTAATTGTATATATATGCATATGTACATATAGTATTGTATGTCCCACAGATCTGGATAAAATTCATACTTTTCACAAACTTATCAATATTGTCAAAAGTAAATACTAAATATGTATCCACTTTGCAGGATGTATAAAATCGATATATAATAATATAAAAAAAGGAAATACTTACTAAAATTAGTTAATAGCATTAACATTTAAGTTAATATTAAAATAAAGTTGATTATAAAATCATTAGGGTAGGAATATAAAGTGGTAAATGGTATGCGATGGGATAACTGAAAACAAGTGTTGTTTTTTTTTTGGCAAATTTTCTTCCTTATAATTTCAAATGATTGCGTTATAAAAATTAACAAAAACATATTACTTTTTTTTACACGAATAATAATGTACAGTATATACAATCTAAGACAGCAGAGCAACCTCAGTTATTGATGACAACGTGTTTTTGCTTCGTTATGCAATGGACAGAGTACAAGACAAGATCAGATCGAACGAGAGAAGGAAACTCTGCACGTTTATGAAAGTAACCAAAAAAAAAATAACATAAGATTGGGTACAAAAATACACCGAATGTTTCTTTTTTTTACTATTATCTTCATTTTTTTTAGTTATTACTTTCTTCAATATACATTTTTTCCGTCTCATTTTTTTTTAATAAAATTTTTAAAATTTGTAAACTTTGATTATATGGACAGTTTATTCTAATTTTTTTGTTGTTGTTTAACATTATAAAATTATTTTCTATACACAGAAAGCACTCGTAAAATGCTAATTAATATATATATTTTTTCCATCATTAACGAATATATAATACACATTGCTCGCTACTCGATAAAAATCTTAAAAATTGCTTACTCTACTCTTATTGAAAATTTGTGCATTGACTCCACGAAGAAAGTTTAAACGAAATTGATAAGCGTAGTATAATAATAACATAATTGAAATATAAAATACAACAAAACTGAATATAAGTAATTTCGAACGTATTGGCAACAGAAAAATTTAATGGTATGGCCCCAACGATTTATTATAAAATATTTTTATTTATTTATTTTTATTATTTTTTTTGTTATTTTCACTTTCTTGAAATTCTATTTTATATGTTTATATTATAACTTTTGCACACATCTACAGATACAGGCATACACCACTTAACGACGCGGAACGAAGGTCGTGGGTGGCGATGGTGGAAAGTTGGGAAGGAGGGAAATATTAGAGAAGGGGGATATAGAGATTGTGAGACACGTAAGCTAGTGATCGAATGATAGCGCCGCGTATAAACGACGCTCTGCGGGGCAACGCTAAGCGGGTTTGCCTGTACGAGTCCATCCTCGCGAACAGAGTCTATAGATATTATTACACTGATAATGGCGACCCGCTATCTCTAAAACCACATTGTCCACAGACCGCTACAAAAGTTTTAAACCTAATAAAAATCAAAAATCGTATCATAATAATATAATATGTATAGAATATACGAGATATATCTGGCTTTAAATAATAAAGATTCAGTAGTTGCTGAAAAATATTTAATGCTCTCTAAATCGCAAATAAAATGTATATATATAAACAAACGAACAAATATTAGTGGTGGGGGTTGAATCCTTTTTCCGGGATAATATTAGCGATTATCCGGTAGAAATACCCCAGATACAGGAAATAAAAGACAATTTCTGAAATTGTGCAAAAAGTAAGATTTCTTCTCTTTTTTTTTGAAAAATGAAAGTATTGGTCATCAAAACGATGAATCACAGCCTGATTGTATCCCGCCGTCGCGGCTAGGTGAGACGAGTCGAAATAGGACACCCAAAATATTACTTCTTTTTTTTCGTCTTTCGGGTCCACAATATCGAACCGAACTAGGCACTAACAACTGGTTGAATTCGGGAATACTTAATATTAATACAATGAAAAAAAAATCCAAATTAATTATATTCTCACCGAACGACAACATCGCGCTGAATAAATGTTGTTGCCTAAACTAAGGTTAACTAGAACGTTTTTTTTTTGTTGTAAACTGTCGTTTCGTTTCCGTTTTCTGCTCTTTCCTTCTTTTTTTTGAATAATAAATGTATTTGATATTAACTGCGCTTAGCAACACTATAAACGTTGTTAAATACAAAACATAAAATGAGATCATATTTACGTGAATGACGCAAATGCAGCCACACCAACGAATTGAGCTGACTGAGTCATAACTGTACTAGTTCGATACGCAACGGTAACATGGGTTTAGTACATTTATGTGGACGTAATAACGCACTTGAAATTGTTGTATAACCAACGCTGTCTAGTATGTCTATCGGTTTGCGTGACGATCCTCGGCGGTCGTTCAATTGGTGAACAGTGACTGCGAGTTCCAGTCACCGGAGAGGAGATCGGACACGTCTGGGGTGCACGAGAAGTTCAGGTGAGACGTCGCGTCGGAACCAACCTCCATGTGTTTATCCATGTCGGCGAGGGCCTCGAAGCTGAAGTCGTCTTGTATGAGGTCGGTGAGGGCGTCCAGATCGTCGAGCGTCGTGTCCAGCTTTTCCTCCGGCTCCTCCTTGACGTACGGCGGAAACGTCGCTCGACTGACGTCCATCAGCAGCTGATCGTCGTAGAAGGAGGCACTTTCCGGCGAGTCTGGCGTGTCGCAGGACGGACTGGACGGCACCTTTGCGTGGGCGGTGATGAAGTTGGGGGAAGACAGGAACATCTGCATCTGCGGTCCCCCTTTCAGCTTGTCTTTGAGCTTGCTCGTCACGTCGACGTCGGCCGCGCGCCTCGGTACGCTCTCCACGATCGTCTCGAAGACCTGTCTTGCAACAGCCGTCGTATTCAGATTGTTATTACTATCGTTCCTCTTGCCGCGAGGCTTCGGCTTTATCTTCTTCGTCGCATGCACCACCTTGCTGCTGCTGCTGGTGCTGCTGACTTTGTTGCTTTTTTTTCTCGGTCTGTACTTGTAATCTGGGTACTCTTTCTGGTGCAGCAACCTAAGCTTCTCCGCCTCCTGCTTGAACGGCAACCTCTCGTCCTCGTCCAGGGACCTCCAACGTCCACCGAGCTTCTTCGAAATCTCCGCGTTGTGCATGTCCGGCTGAGTCTCGCAGATTTTTCGACGTTCGATCTGAGACCACACCATGAACGCATTCATCGGCCTCTTAATATGATTAGGATTGTTCTTCTTCGTCTGCAACAATCCGAGAAAAAAAAACACCGTTCAAATAAAACTGCTTCATTACAAGCAAACAAATAAACAAACAACCGTGACCCGTGCATTTTCAAAACAGTTCCTCTATTTATATTTAGATCATTCAACAAAACAACATCTCCGACATTTACGAGCGCAGACTGAAAACGATTATTTTTATCATACACCTAAAAAAATATATAACATAATAAATTGCATTTACAACACCAACCGATAGTTCCGGACTTTCAATAACGAACATAGAAAAAAAAGAGCAATGTATTTTCATAAACCAGAAATCCGTGACTCACGAGTCCTTGAAATGTATAAAAAGATAAAACGCAAGTATAATTAAAATTAAATTTTGAATCTAAATAAAATCGATTAATAAAACAGAATTTTGTATCATAAAAAGTTAAAAGTGTACTAAATAATAAAATTTAGTTGAAATCCTATTGAATTGCTCGACAATTGTATTTAATTTACAGTTTAAAACTTTGGATGAGTGTAGTAAATCAAATTAAAATTTTGAAATTCGGGGATGGATGGAGAAGGCAGGTTACGTACCTGAGTGGCATCGGAGTAAGGCGTTGCACTGTTCAGGTCAATTTTTTGAGATCCAAATAGTGGCTGGTTATTATTGCTGTTCGGTAACATTCCTGAAGAATCCATGTTTTGTTGCGGCACCATAATCCAAAATTAATTGTCACACGCACTACACTGGGCAATTGCACGCGTCAATGTTACGTTGCTCTCGGATGTCCTGTTGTTGATGATGATGATGGATTGTCTTGCAACTGCGACTTCATTAAGACTGCCTACAGCTTCATCTGTAACTACCGACTGAGGCTCGTCCACACTTCTGTTATGGTCTCAGCTGATCACCCCTTCCCCCAAAACGACGCGAGTGGGAGGGAGAAACGCATGTGCAGCGATAATTTTATTATCGTTAACAGCTGATATTTGTGTACGTCTCTTATCGGCAGGATACTGCACTCCTTCCACGGACGAAAGTTATAATTTATATATATTGTTTTTCTTTTTTATTTCAATTGTCCTTGGTGGACAATTTCTGTTGAACCTTCGAAAGTTTTGCGTGCCAAAACTTTTACTACTTTGAAACGAGTCAATTCAAATATATTCGTTTCAGTGAGCTTTCAGTAGAGTACATCGCGCGCAAACTGTTGCGAACAACTGAAACGGGGAACTTCGTCCGTCTGTATTTCATTCTTCCCCACCACATCCCTAGTTGAAACGAATCCTCTTTGGCGGCAGCACATGCTTGATGACTCTTCGGCTTCGCTTCAACTACGTTCTCAACTTCAAAAAGTTTCAATCGAACGAACTATAAATACAACTGTGTTATTTATTTGACAAACAAGAATTAGTCTTGTGGAGATAGCGTTTTACTAACTGTAAATGGAATTTAATCTAAAGACATTATCACAAAAATAACACGTATTAAATAACAAATTTTTCGTTTATTTGTTTGTAATATGTTTTACATACAACTTATCTAGAGGTTTACTATTAACATACATTTCTTAGAAAAAATATCACTATCACAGACAGACTGAATTGATTGGTACTAAAACTATGTTAGTTGTTTACATTATGAATAGATTAGGTCCTAATGCAATTCATTTCTTAATACCAAATATAAGAAAACTGAAGTTTCTTATAAAATAAGATGAATTTATTATTTTTTGGAAAATAAACTAAAATATTTTTTTTGTGGTTTAAGTATTAATATACTTTTCATTAATAATTGAAGAAAAAAATCTAGAAATATTCTAATTTATTTAAATTGGTTGTAAAATTTGCAAATTATTGAATAAAATTACCAAAATAGAAATTTATCTAAATTCACTGTTAAAGTAATCTTTTTGGTTCAATTAGAAACAACATAATAAAAATTAATGAAATGCAGATTTTTCTAACATTTTGTAACATATTTGAGTTAAATATCGCACGTAAATAAATAATTGTATTAATTAGAACCAAAATATAAATTGAATATATTTAATTGACTATAAATTTTATAATTCAAAATAAATAATCGTAAAAAAATAAAATTACAACTTTTCAAAATGTTTATTAATTTCTTGTATTTCGTTGAAAGAATTATGTAAATCATCGAATAATATTACTAATTATGAACCAAATAGTAAAATTATTCAACAATAACGTAAATTAGTAAGGTTTGAAATAATAAATTCTATTTTTGATATTGATATTGAATTGAATTATATCGAAAAAAAATGAAATAGTTTATAAAATATATTAAGAAATATGTTCGTAATAAATTGTAATATTTAGTATGTACTTTGCAAACCTGTATATGAAAGTTTTCCTAAAAATAACTGAATAGAAAAGGCAGGGACCCGGAAAATAAGGAAGTGTGAATATTTCATGTACACTTGACTACCGTCTAAAACGCAACAAACGAGGGTGAGAAACTCCGCACTAACATTGTATATTATGTACATAAATGATGCAAAATGGACAAAATTCAAGGAAAATAATTTATTATATTGATGTTATTTTCTCTAATAATATTGTCCGAAGTAGTACATTTATTTGAAAGGAACAAAATCAGAATAAATACTAGAAAAATTCAATATTAACCATTCGCTAAGAACTAAGATGTGACAATCACTGCAGTAGCCATGCTTACAATTTTGTATAAGCATAGTCTACTGTGTAAAAGGATAGGGCGGATATATCCGCCGCTCGTCCGAAATTTAAAAAAAAAATGCAAAAAGGTATAAAAAAATGGATTTTTGTTCATTAAATAACAAATGATGTTTGAACTAAATATTATAATAATGAAATATAGGAGTAAAATGTATTTTATAAATAAAAAATAAATACAAAATTTAATTGGATAATAAAATGCATTTATTGTTACTTGCTCACTAATTAGCTAATTTTTCAAATGTAAAAGGTTTGTATGTAAATGGTGTGTGCATTTATAATTAATTTACACCATGGCTAATTGTAATCATTCATATTTGGATTACAACGGAGAACGACAAATATGAGAACAAAAGCGACAACAATAATGAACGTAATTATTTAATTCTATACAGAACAGGTGAACAATTGAACAATGTACAAAAGACCTGTTAACATACATACCATAAATAAGAATTAAAAAAAAAAATCAATACTATCGATGACATAATAAAAAAAATTGAAAGTGATTTAGTGGATCAAAAACTTTATTTTATTCTATTACAGATTAGTCTATTACGAATATTCATCGATGAGAATTTTATTTTTTGAAATCAATAAAAAATAACGTGATGAATGTATCTAATAGTGAATTTTACAAATTGAAAATAAAATATACACTTAAGTAGTATTAAATACTTGTATCTAAACTAAACTATAGTAAAATAATAAGTGGATATAATTAGTAATCATTTCAAGGTTTCCAATGATTCATTACTTTCAATAAACTTGAAGATGGTCTTCATTGTCGAACAATTAAAGAAACAACCAGAATACTAAGTAGCTGGTAAAAATATAGATTGGAATCGCATTTAAATAATCTCATAATTAAGAAATGGTATAATTATAAATTAATTAAAAAGAACTAATTGGGATTTTTATACTTTTACAATATTTCGAATACATGAAAATAACTAGAAATTTCTCGAATGGTTCTTTTCACATATTGACATATACATATAAAGGGTGTCCCAAACGCAAGATTTGAATTTGACGCCATTTGTGCAGTAAAGTGTTGTCAACCCAAAAAAAAAACAATTTGACAGCTGAGAGGTTAGGGTTAGTAAAAATCTTGCGTTAATTTTGGGACACCCTTTTTATAAGTAGTATTAAATATACCAAAGAATAAGTAGATATCAATATTAATCATGTTTAAAAATAATTAATATTTACTTAGAAATCACAATTTATTGGCAAACTAAATTATAATATACTTAAGAAACCAGTTTGGATTAAATAAAATGTGGGGTTCCCTCAGTGAATCTAATATCGAAAGTTTAATTTAAGCTCTATTTAATTGAAAGTTTCTATAAAAATATATAGGTTTTCAGTTTTCATTACACTACCAGAAACTAAATAGAGAGATTTAAGATATACTACTTCACAATAGCATAATCTCAATATGACTTATTTTAATTAATTGTAACTTAATTTAAAAAAATTAATTGATTTGTCTGAAGTTGAAATTATTATACGTTTAATATATTTCGAATATAAATGAAAATAAATATGATTAAATGTTACAAAATATTATGCAACTCATCGAAAACATCGACATATTATTTATTTGCAACTATTTAAACAAAATTAATACTTGTTGTGATATTAATCATGATTAATCAGTTAATAATCATTAATAGTTGTATTATTAATAAACACGAAAATGATACATATTATTGCAAAAACTGAGAAAATTATCATATAATCTATTTATTTTATCATATCATTTGATATAAAATGATCAAATTAATTATAGATATTTCATTAAACAAACATTTTTTTATCATATTATGTCTTTTTAATTTTCTGCTGGTTAGAATAAACAATCCCCTATCAACTAATTACTAAATTTAATTACTTTAATAAAATATTTAAGGGGTAAATTACCAGACAGATTACTTTACGACAAGATAAAAGATTATTTATAATTAGCTTTGTTTGTTAATTTTACTACAAAAAAATGCTTATCAATTCACAGGGAAATTGCGCAAACGGAAGATTGTTTCTATTTCAAGAACGAATTAACTGGAAATAAAAGTTTAACAAATAAAACAGATTTTTTTTTCTATATAAAAACATTACATATAATTTTTAATGTATGATATGGATAAGGAAGTGTTCGTCTCAAGATGTGACTAAGAGCCGTTTCACAACTTCTGTTATTTTTTGTAAAGTTACGCAATATTTTTTTTTCGAACCGAAGGATTGCTTAGAAAATGACTTTCGAGTGGAATTGCTAAGTGATTAACTGTCATTTCAAGAGTTCGAGATTACTACATTAATTTGATTGAAGAACACCAGATTTCCTTTAAGTTACAAACGATTTCTCGTGTTTTTAATATATTTTGTATAATATTATTACTTGCGTCTATTGATAAGAACACATCATTCTAGTGAGTAATTAAAAAAAAATATAATTATAAATGCATATTTCATCATTGCAAATATTTTATATTTAAAAATTATATAGATTTTGAAATTTTTCTTAAACAATTGTGTTAAATTTTAAAACGCATTTTAGTGATAGATTTAAGTTGATTATGCCATAATTCATTAAAAAAAAAAACAACAATGAAATTTTAGTTTCTAGAAAATTTGAATGCTTAATTAAATAATCTAGAAATTATTGTTATGTAAATAATTTAATTCAAAAAAATGTGATTCTAGTAAATTTACGTAAATATCTTAATAAAATAATTATATTAAAACAGAAACATGTTGTTCACTATCTATTTCGGTGAATGGTGAGAAATGGCGTGATTTTATACCTGCTCGAAGACTACATCATCTTTAATTATAATTGATAGGAAATGCCTTTACATTTCAACAGGTTTAGGGGTTTTCTTCGATGTCATCTATGGTTTTAAAGAATTATTTAAATATTACCTATCATTAAGCAAAAATAAAAAGAATAATCTTGTAACAATTGCATCTTTTTGTTATTAAATACATTTGTAATCTAAATAATTGTATGATCCAGTGTGATCACATGTATTTTCCTAATTTTTAACGTTACTTAGCTATATGTTATATACTATTTTAGTAACATGTCTGTATAATGTGTTACCTATAAATTTTTTTATTTATAACCCAAATTTCATTAAATTTGGTAAAGAAAACAATCAAAATATTTGTAATAGATTAAATTATTACAACGTATAAGATTGTCCAATATAAAGCTATAATTATAATATAATTTTTACTCTTTTCAATTTACAAGTATAAATAAGATCCATCACAAAAACGATCAAAAAGTCTGGAAATATGTCGTCAAACAAATGTTCTGTAAGATGTAAATAATTTGAATTTGATGATTGGTATACATTTGTAATAATTCGTTCCATGTTAACTAAAAGCAACAAAGCAATTAATATAAATAATAGACTAAATTATAATTGATCGTATTAATAGAAATAATAGTAATACCTTCCATAGTGCAGTCTCGATCAGTGCGGAATCACTGTTTGAAAAATTCAAAAGAATCTAATTTTTAATTAGCATTACAAAGATTTACATTAAAAATATATAAATAGACTTTGTTATATATAAACATGTATTATGTATTGTTTTCGTATATAAATATGTATTTCTAATTTTGTAAAAATGTTATATATAATAAAAAAAATAATAATTAAATTTTTAGTTCTCAACTTTATTTTTTAACTTGTAAATTTATTTATAAAATTTTTGTTAATAATCTGTTTTAATAAATATATCTAAAAAGTTTAATAAAATTCATAATATACACTTTTATTATAGGCAAACCTATTTACATCATTCATAAGAAATTCATGTTTCAACGTATAGTAATTAAATGTTGGCCTATTAACAAATGTTCATTCACTAATTACACTGTCCAATTAGAAATAAATAAACGTATCAAATAATATTCTACAAGTTATATAGATAAATGACACATTAATTGTAAATTTAATTTTCCAGTGTGATCGATTTTCTTTAATTATAGAATTATGTAAAAACTAGTTTAATTAACAAGTCTTTGGACGAGGATTTCTTGTCTCTATTATATCAAGTATGAAGTAACATATGTTCCTGGATAGAACAGTGGTGTGCAAATGTGGCTCTTTGGATAGGAAACATGCGGCTCACTTTACGTTTTTTTAATAAGCAAGTGACTCTTCGCTTCAAACAGGTTGTCGACCCTTAGCATATATAAATTACTTATTTATTCACAAAATTGTATTGGTCTTAATTTAGCTGAAATGACCTAAGTTTTTCTGCTTAAATAAATTATTATTTGTAGTAATACTACTTTATATATAGATTTTTCAAATTATGGGAAACATTTGATAAATTCACATATAGTATTTATACTGATCAAAGTCGATGGTCAAGTAGAAATTTCCTAATAAATACGCAGTCCACTAATTAATCGATATTCCTCTAATTATAATTTAGCATTCATCGATTACAAACTATAAACTTGAATATCCTTGACTTGAAAATATACAAATGTAATACGTGTAAGTAAAATGTATAACTTGAGAATACTGGAATACCTCGCATAGTGCGGATTCACTATAGTCTAGTTTGGAAATTTTTCAAGCAAAGTACATTTTATGAGAAGAATAAAAAATAGTACACACAATTAATTACATAATTGATTACTTTTTATAATAAAATCAAGTCTTTTTTGGGTCGTTTATTATTAGTCCGGTTTTAAACAAACCGGACTATGAGAGATATTGTTGTAATTTCTGTCGTATGTAAGTTATAGTAATTATGTATATAAAAATGAAAAGAAATGTGTATGTAATAAATAATAATTATTAAGTCCATGGTACAAAAGAAAAAACGTATTTACAAATAATAACAAAAATATATATAAATGAACAAAACGCAGGTACATTTTAAGATATTTCAAGGAAGAACATATCTATTAACATTAATGGGTTTACTTTGGTAATCTTCTATCGAAATTGGATCCTTCTCATTGTAAATGGATACATCTAAATTTAAGTAGTCATTTGAAGTCTCTAGGATTTTGTCCAAATATTTGTGAATTTCACCGAACGTCGGTCGATTATTTGGATTTGCGTGCCAGCAATTTGTCATCAAGGAATATCTGCAAGAAATAAATTGATTTTCACAGTTTCATAGATTGAAATTCTACTTACATATCACCTGTGCAGTAAATAGGACACGCCATGCGATGGCCTTCGCGGAGAAACGTTAGTAATTCTTGAATGGAAATTCCTGGATAGGGATTCTCGCCCAACGTAACAATTTCCCACAACAATATACCATACGACCACACGTCACTCTTTGTCGTATACCTTTGGTGCGTCAGAGATTCCAAAGCCATCCATTTTACTGGTAATTTGCTAATACTTGTCTTGCAGTACACGTTATCACTATATATGTCTCTGCTCAAACCGAAATCCGATATCTTCACTGAACCATTATCACATACCAGAACGTTGCGCGCTGCTAGATCTCTGTGCACAATTCGCAAATTCGACAAGTATTCCTGAAACATAATTATTTATATACAGTTTTATCAGTTAGAATGTGTTTTCTTTTTTAATTTTACCATTCCTTTCGATATTTGAAGTGCCATCGACAGGAGGTCCTTGATTTTGTATTGATGTTTTGTAACGTCCATTAAATACAGTTTATTCGAAAACTGATTTGCCGCCGTTGAATCGCAAGTACCATTTAGTTTGCTATAATCTCTGAAATAGATTTATTGTTATTTAGTTTATTTTTTGTTTAGCATATTTCTAGAAAATTAAATTTAATACTGTGCGGAAAGTAGCCTTTTAACCAGATTATATTGAAAGTTTATAGTTTGTTATATTTTCTGACAAATAAATTATTAATCAAACTCATCAATGAAAACTTGAAGAAAGAAAGTTGTATTAATAACTTAAATTTAATTTCTTGGAGATAAAACCATTATGTTCAAGATTTTATCTCCAAGAAATGTAGTTTAATTAAAAAAAAAACACTGACATCATTGTACGCTCCTACGAATATTTGTACGTTAGTTCGGTTTTGTTTGATGGCAATTATTTGAAATATTTTTAAATTTCTTAAATTTGTATTGCTTCGTAAAGTTTTATCATTGTACGTTCATACGAATATTTATCGGTTGGTTCGGTATTGAGGTCGTTAATAATTATGTACGTATTAACGAACGTACATTAAGTAAACGGTGGCACCAAATAGTTTTTGTTTACTTACAAATATTTAAAATCTTTTAAAATTGTATTGATTAGTAAAATGTTTGTGAATTTGACATCATTGTACGTTCGTTCGAATATTTGTGGATTGCTATGGAGGCCGTAAATATACATATTGACAAACGTACATTTAAAAAATGTACCTTAGGTAAAGGTTGACTCTAAATAGTTTTTGTTTGCTGACAAATATTTGAATTCTTTTTAAATTTCTTAAAAGTTTTTGAAATTTTTTCATTATACATTTATACGAATATGTGTAAATTTGTTCGGTACGGAAGCTATAAATAATCATGTACGTATTAACTAACGTACATTTAAAGGATGTACATTACGTAAACTTTGACTATCACTAGTTTTTGTTTACTAATACATATTTAAAATTTCTTCAAATTTCTCAAAATTGTATTATGTATTATTTTTTTTTTAAATTTAATATCATTAACATAATTATACGTTTATATGAATATTTGTAAGTTGGTTAACGAATTTACATTTAAAGGCCTTACATTAGACTGACATTGACTCTAAATAGTTTTTGTTTGCTCATAAATATTTGAATTCTTTTAAATTTTTTAAAAGTTTTTGTAAATTTTTCATTATACGTTTATACGAATATTTGTAGGTTTGTTCGATACGGAAGCCATAAATAATCATGTACGTATTAACTAACGTACATTTAAAGGATGTACATTACGTAAACTTTGACTATTACGAGTTTTTCTTTACTGATACATATTTAAAATTTTATAAATTTAATATCATTAATATAATTATACGTTTATATGAATATTTGTAAGGCGTTACATTAGATTGACATTAACTCTAAATAGTTTTTGTTTACTGATTGATATTTGAAATTTTTCTTTAAAAAAATCTCAAAATTTTGTTGTTTGGGAGAGTTTTTGCATATGTTATAGCATTATACGTTCATACATTGTAGTTTGGTTCGACATTAAGTCCTTTAATAGTTATGTACGTATTAATGAACTTACATTTAAAGAATGTACTTCCACATATTTAAAATTTCTAAAAATTGTATTGATTAGTAAAGTGTTTGTATATTTGACATCATTATACGTTCATACTAATATTTGTAGGTTGGTTTACTGACTCAAATAGTTAGTTTATAGTGAAATACATGGAATTAAATTTCTCAAAATTATTATTTTTTTATTAAAATTTAAATAAATTTTACATCTATTTTCAATGACCAATTTCATGAAATATACGACATCTTAATAATCCTCTACACCAGTGATTCCCAAAGTAGTCTATATCGACCCCCAGGGGTCTATGACGACCTGCAAGGGGTCTACGTCAGCGAAAAAAAAATTTGGGGGTCCATGAAAAGAAAATGGGGATCCACGATAGTGGATCTCAACATACACTGATAGTGCCTATTTACTTATATTATACTATATTTATTTATATTATACTATATTTATTTATAAAAGTACCTATGAAGTAAAAAAAAATTATATATGTTTATAAAATTGTGTAAGTTGTAGGATGTAGGCATTCGCTTTGTGGTCGCAATACATTTTGAACTTGTAAAAACCTGCACATAATGATATACCAGTATCATCTTGTTACAAGCATACGCGCAGTCTCAGAGCAAAGATCTTAATAATTATAAAGATGTCCCAATATAAATAATAAATTTACAAAAAGTCAATATCAGGTAAGTAGGGGGTCCACCCAAAATCGAAAAACATGGCAAGGGGTCTACGACACAAAAAAGTTTGGGAACCTCTGCTCTACACATTCCTCCTAATGATCTCCTTACAACAAAACCAAAATAGTCAGTCTCCTCGACCGATATCTTTCCCTCTCCTTGAAATTTAAATCCAAACAGTCCAACATCGCCCCCTCTCTAAATTCTGTGCCCCAAATATCCTTCCCAAATTTAAATATCCCACATTATACCTATTCTAATACCTAATGTCCCTCGATTGATACCCACTTGTTCCTACACCGCTGCTTATTTTCCTCATTCTTCTATTTTTCAAATGTATATATTGTTATTGTTCCATAATTAAAATTATTTCCCGGGCGGAAAGAGCTCGGTTGATAGCTCTTTGGCCAGCATATTAATATTTTTTTTTTTGTTAATTTATGTTAAACTTTGTTTACTTTTTTGAGAGTTATTTTTATTATCTAGTTGTTATTATTATCATTTATTCATTTATGTATTTTTTTTGTATTTCCTATCTGGCCAATAAATTATTATTATTATTACAAAAATACTCAAATAAATTATAATAAATTAACGTAATTAACCAGAAAAGTATGTATTTTTTCATAATTGAGATCGAAAAATAATGATGATAAAATATAGAAATAAATTGACATTGAAATGTGATCTTGGAGAAATAATTGTAACATTTATGCGAATAATAAAGCCAATTTAAATAGAATTTATGCACGACTTGTTTGTGAAATGAAAAGCAAGTGCACAAACAGGAAAAATGCGCAAAAAATAACATAAGGAGTAAACGGTGGAGTATAATATTATTACATTAATTTATAATGTAAACTACAACCAAATACGCTACGTTAAAGCATTAAATATTTGTATAATAAAAAAATTCAATATATATATTAAAAATTATTGAAAGTAAATTGCGTTTTAATAAACATTTGCGTCATCATTGTTATTTACGATTAAACAACACCGAGTTCGAATTCATTAAAAATTCTTGGCTTTAGGAGTTGTTTTCTACTCTCTATGTGTTTTTTTCACCAACTTTGAAGAATTTTGAAGTATCGGCTAAGCGTAAACATCAAAACAAAACGGTTGATACACGAGTCAACATATGTGTGATAGGCTTGCAGCGTAATTTCTTGCACATAGAATAACTTATATATGAAAGGAATTTATTAATTGATTAGTGAGAGAAATTTGAAGATGAAGTGATATTAAAACTGTTTTGCAATTTTTCTCAAGGAAAATATAACATTTCCTTTTAAAATTCTGTTGTTGAGAAAACAACATAAGTTGATCATTTAAATATCGTTTTAATCGGGAAATTTTTGTAGAAAAACGATAACTGTTATTGACATAGTTAAAAATCATAACATGTAATATTTGATTTATACACAAAGGTTGAGTTTATTCTAAAAAAAAACTGTAAAGAAAAGTAGGTGATCGGTTAACGAACAATTCGGACTTCGAACAAATCATACAACAAACACTTAAGTAAAGATTTTTTTATGTTCGATCAGCAAACATATTTTGGGATAACGAAATACCTACAATTGTATATTTATAAATTGATGATCACTTAACGTACAATTCGGTTAACGCACTTTACTGTATTGAAAACTTATATATTATGGTAGAATTCGAAAAAAAAACTTACTCAGATTTAATGGATTTCCATATTGCACGTAAATAATTCAACAAATCTCCTTTCTCGCAAAACTCGACGATTAACATCGGCCCATTATTGCAATTCCTGATGGAACATCCCAACATTGATACAATATTCGGATGTTTACCCACCGACTTAATAAGTTCTATCTCCTCTTTGAACTGTTGCAAATCCTCTTGGATTGGAAACTCTGAATCAATATAAAAACGATTATTAAGATTGAAGCAAAATATTAAAAATTCGGGAATAAATTTGAAAATATATTTCCTCATAACTTTTGTTAAAACGTTGACACATTTGATATAATTGAGATGTATAGCTGTAATTTCTCGCTCATTAAAGAAATTAAATAAATTGCGTCCATAAATAGAAATAACGTTTCTACTCAAGTTCGTTTAAAAAAAAATGTAATATTATAGAACGCATCGATTGTTTGAGCAAAATGCGTGCAGAAACAATGCAGTATATTGATTTGAATAGAATGACATTAATTCAGTGAACTTAAAATACTTATAACTATTTGCATTTATCAAGGAAATTCACAGCAATGATTTTCGTTATTGATTATCAGAATTTACCTTTCAACATTTTCACGGCGACGGTAATCTTATCCGAGCCGTTCGTCAACCATGCTTTATAAACTACCCCAAAAGCGCCCTCTCCTAACACGTTCAACAGTATAATATTCCTTTGATCAATCTCCCATTCGTCCTGGAATTGCGATTTGTTCACGATGAGAGGTGGACACAATGATTCGTACTGCGTCACAGACTTTAAAAGCAAAATGATTTTAGCTTACACAACAATTTAAGAGTTATTACGTTAATACCTGGCTCTGAGTCACCGGTAGGGCTTTCTTCGTGCGTCTCTTCAAATCGTAATAGATGTAAATTGTAGCGCAGATAATTAAGAATACGAGAACAGTTGTCAACGGAAGTACGATAAATAGCATGTTCATCTTCGTCATTTTCGTCGGTTTCTGCAGAACTTTTTCGTATAGACTAGCTTTGCTACTCTCCCCAATACCAGACCAAGCAGATAAGGTAAGTCTGTATTGATCTTGTAGTGAAACTTTCTCAAAAACAGCGTTAATGGAATTCTGCAAAAAAAACATATTTAGTTACATTTAATACAGTTATTATTTTCTTAACGTTAATTTGTTCACACAAACGTACTAATCTCTGACGAACGTACATGATGTTCATATTAACGTACACATTGTTGTCGGCACCAAGCATCATAGTCTCATATGTAAAGTTCAAATTTAAAATTAAAAAAAAATAGAAACATAGAACGCCATTAAATTTAATTTCATTAAGATCGTGATGTCATTATTCGCCCCTTTAAACGAGTTTTTGGAAATAAAAACTTACAACATTTTATTTTAACAGTAGCCAAATATATAATATGAATGCTTTAAGCTCAACCATTGACTGACGTCATTGCACATTTGTACGTTAGTTCAGTCATCCAAATTTTCTATGTACGTTAAGGGAACTTTGTTTTTGTTCTCACAAACGTACATGATATTCATACGAACGTATACTTTATTGTCGTTACCAATCATCGTGCATATACAAAGTCCAAATTAATTTCAATTAGAACGTGACGTTATTTTCTAAGTACGAGTTTTTTAAATAAAAAGAAAAAACGCCTATAAATTAAAATTCAATCAGACTATGATCACATATTATTTACCTTAAACGAGTTTTAAATATTTTTTTCAACATAAGACAAATATATAATATGAATGTACGTTTATACCGATATTTGCACGTTAGTTAAATCTATAAAATTTATAAGTACTTATTAGCAAAAGTACAGATAATTTGTACGTTCATAGAGATGTTTGTATATTACTTCTGTCACCTATACTTTATATGTACGTATAAGCGAAGTACGTTAAATGAACATTAACTGTATGATTATTTACCCCTGACACATTTAGTCTTTCAGCTTGATCCTTGTCCGATATCAGCAGATCTACGATGTAGTATTGCGGTGTGAACTCTGGTCGATCCCATTCAACGAAAATATCATAAATTAATTCATTGCTTTTACTGGTCGCTTTTCTTCTCGATCGCAATCCGGTTGGCATCTTGGGAACTTGAAAATAAATTGTTTACATGCAATCATTGCCAAACCAATTGATACATAATTGTTATTATGAAATAATAGCTACCAACGTCTATGGAATACATCATTTGATAGTTAAGCAATGAATGGATGATTATTGGACATGCACATCAATGTAAAATCAATAGCTATTGACCAGTTTCAAATGAAAATCTCGTAACAAAATATAAATATTACTACTGTTGCAAATAACTATAGGTGAGCATGATACTCATTATTTTTATTGCGCGCTAACACTAATTAAAGATATGAGGAACAATTAAATTCAGCCTTGCTGAGCATTTCTTTGAGGTACTCAAATATAAACGCGCTGATAAGCAAGAATTATACCAGTTTATAATAATGACGGGTGATTTTCCAGTCAATTTCAAGCAGTTGACTTTAAATATATTTACTTTGCGTCTTAATGATTACTACAATTACAATTAACTAATTACATTATTATTATTACTATTTAAACCAGAAAATTAAATAACAAGATAAATAAGAAAATTTGCATATTTTCACTTACCGCAGTATCGCAAATCCTGATACAGCTCTAAACAAGTTGGAGTGTGCGTTTTATTCCAAACTACACCACTGTCTTTGTTCCAATCCTGAGATTTAGCCACAACACCCACATGGTAATTCTTGTCGAAAGAGATATCTATATCCGTTTCAAATAACCGCGTAATCTGCAATTAAACCACATTAATCAAACGATAATAATCAATGAAAAGAGACTCTACATTCTCAATTTTCTTGTTGCTGTAATAAGATGAGTTTTTCTCCTCTAACCAAGTGACTTCGCAGTAGCAAACGTAATCTGAAACACGCACAATTCATTTAGTTTATCGCATTTACAGATCTTGAACGTATATACATATACAGGGTTTGTCGAATGCAAATTTTGTTGAGATCAAATACAGACATAACTCGTTAACGTTACTTCTGATAATCAATGAAAGTTCATAGTTTTAGACAGAAGTTGTACAAGAAATTAGTTATTAAGAGATTTATTAGCAATAAAGACAAACAAAATGATGTTGACTATAAGTTGACTGTCTCTTTAATAAAATTTTGTATTTTTGAAATTTCGCTTAACGAAGTAATTTTGGAAAACAATGACTCACCCTGTATCTAAAGTACACGTACAATTAAATCACCAATGAAACGCATCCGATATATAAAGGCGTAATTTGCTTAAATTATATACTACTTCTACATTCGATATTACCTTTAGTCGTCCATGCAATATTCATCATCAATGAATTGTTCTCTGAGAGGAAAGTATTTAAATCGATGCTTTCCGCTTTCATCGGTATATAGTTTTCCGGCAGAGTTTCAATCCAAATCGATTCGATGGGTTCATACAAGATGACATCCGCAGAAACCGCCCAAATTCTAAATTTGTATTTCGTATTCCTTTTGAGATTTGTGACATTTAAAAAACTTGTTGCGAACTGAAAACATAATTAATAAATAAATCAGTTGCAGTTTTTAATGTTAACCCCTTTACGGCTACGCGGCGGATATATACGCCCAAGTATTTATGTGCAATCGTAGTCATCAAATCTTAGTTCTTAGACTACTTCACTAGTCTTTTTACGACGTTAGTTCTGTAGAGGCGCTACTTGAGTTATCAAAAAACGTCCTTGTTAATATGACAACAAAGAGGACAAAAATGGTAAGGCGTCTGGGTGTACCTTGAAGTCTTTTTTTAAATAATCAATTTGCAAGCATTTATAAGTTATAATTTGTTAAAGTCATGCCGTGTAAAATGAACAGGCAGACATTTAATGCACACAGAAGTCCAATGTAAATTATTTATATTAATCAAACACACCTGTTGCTATGCAATATCTAATTTACTTAGATAAGTAAAAACAATATCTTTATCAATTGTTTCACTACTTGCATATAATAAAGCCCGCCAAAATCCTTGCCGATAACATAAAATTATACTCGCTATACACAATTGCATCGTATCTTTACAATATTCAAAAACCAATTGATAAAATACCCAAAATTAATATTTATAATCCTATTAATTATATAATAAAAAATAAATGGAGATTTGATGAGTATTTCTACATTCTATACCAAAAAAGATACGCGAAACGATTTTTATGTAATTTTTGTTATAAAGAATAGTAATTTTAATAATATGTACGAAAACTTTCAAATTTCGTCAATTTTCTAGTTTATTAAATATTAGTAGATTTCAGATTAATTAAATATATATTCAGATAAAAAAATACAACTCTTAACAGATTTGTCAAATGTTATATTATTTTGCCAGTTTGATGGTAATGTTATTTTCATTACACAAGTTTTGGTTTGATTGACGTACAATGACGTTGAATTATACAATTTAAGCATTATCAAACGTGCGTTAAATAAATGTACATTAAGTGAACACAACCATTGCTATGATTTTTGAAATAAATAGTTTAAAGTACATAAAAATGAATTAACTCACAGTAAGAAAGTCATATCATATTTTTTTTTCTACATATATTTAATTTATTTTATATCCGATCGTGATGTTATTTTTTGTTTTAACGAGTTTTATGCAATAAAAACTTAAAACAGAATAGAATTGAATTTTATTGTCAAGACAAAGCAAAATCAAAATTACATCCACAATACTAAAAATCAAATTAAACAGTAAAATAAAAAATGAATGGATTCAAAATCTTAATAGTAAAATATAAATTCTCATACGCAAAGAAAAAGAAATTCTACACAAAAGAAAAAACGTAGTTCAAATTCCGACGTTCGAAATCCCGACTTTATCAAAATTTCGATAATCATAATCCCGACTGTATCAGAAACTCGACAACCATAATCCCGACAAAATCAAAATCCCGACTATATCGAAAAAATTTTACAATTACATTTTTAAATTATTTCGAAGCGTAGCCACCTTGTGCTACTTTTATTATTAATAACAATAAATTATTATTAACTTATTTGATTTTCTTGAATTATTCATAATAAACCTTAACATTATGAAATAATCCCGAATACAATTAGATTGTTAATTGTTATTATTTATTATTAATAACAATTTAAAAGTCACTACGCTCCGGTATAATTTAAATATGTTATAGTAGACATTTTAGATATAGTCGGTATTTTGATAAAGTCGGGATTATGGTTGTCGGGATTTCGATACAGTCGGCATTTCAAACGTCGGGAATTTGATTGACGGTATTTCGTTTGTCGGGCTTGCGATTGCCACCGATTAATATATTCCGCACGGTCAGGTGGAAGTAAATTTTATATTAACATGATTGTTCGTTCATACGAACATTTGTATGTTATTTTTGACAATATTCACAATTCTGATTTCCAAATCCAAAAATTACCTTTTAATTCAAATTAAATTTAAACGAAGTAAATAATAAATACAAAATTAATTTTAACCAGATAGTTTTGTTTCCTTAAACAAAATTTTAAAAATTAAAACAATTTACTTGAACAGAAGTCAAATACATCACATAAGTATAAGTCTGATTGACACATTGTACGTTCATACGGACATTTGTATATTCGTTCTGTTAGGTGCAAGTAAATTTTATATGATACTTTAAAAAGACGTACGTTAAGTGAATATTAACTTATTCATTATTAGCAGGCAAGAATATTCACGATTCTGTTTTTCAAAATAAAAAAATATTTTTTTTATTGAAATTTAATCTAAATGAATTAACTACTATGAATTAGTCAAACCTTGATATCATTTTTTTCGTGATATAAAACAACCTTAAAACAGTTTACTTGAATAGAAGTTAAATACAGAACAAGATTGCTCCGTGCTCAACTGGTTTCATTGACATCATTGTACGTTCATACAAACATGCGTAAGTAAATTACATATGTACGTATTCTGGAACGTAGTTTAAAAGTATATTATTATGTGATCATATAATTATTTGACATTGATTCATGATTCTGATTTTCGAAGCTAAACAAATTAAAAATTGCTTTCTAAAAAAGTTAAAAATTGACCAAAAACATATTTTCAAATACCATTTAATTAATTTAATTAGGAGTTTGGAATATCCGTGTTTTGCAGGTGATAGAAGATTTAATTTACATTCAAATTACTAATTAACTTATATTATATAAATAATTATTATTGTAATAAGCCAAATATTACTAATAAATTCAAAGAATTTGAATGTCGACGGACACCTCAGAATCAACCGGTTTTTCTGATGTAAAATCAAATCAATTTAAATCCAGATTTAAGCAATAACAACAATTTCTGTATGTTCATATGACGGACATAAATAAACATCACTCACCATGCCTTTATATTTGTACAACTGCGATTCGGCCTTCACCTCCACCAAATATGTTAAATTAGTATAGTTTGGGTTCAGTTGCAGAATTATAAAAGTTTCATCTCTGCAGAAATGTGGCGCACTTAAAATCGGTTTCATCATTCTCCAGTCTGAAAAAAAGGTAGAAAATTAAGTTATTCCTGTACATGTAAACAAGCTTTAAGGATATTTTAAAGTTGCAATTTTTATACACCCCACATTAAACCTGATTTAAAAACAGTATGACCATGAATATAACCGAAAAACAAGAATGAGAAATGATAAACATTCTCAGGTATAAATGATGATATTTGATGAAATTTTAAAAATTGTATTCATTCGTAAAGAAGTAATTCTTTACGTTACATAACTTTTATTAGATGTTAAATGATTGTAATAGATTTGAATTATATTGAAGATTCTATGAGTTAACTCAATGGATAAGGATTTTGGTCAAACCAGAATAGAGAAATGATATGCTGTGACATATTGGAATTATCATATTTTACTGATTACATACTAAAATTACCTTTGTGATTGTGGGTTTCTTTTTTGTTAGTACAGTTGTTAACCTGTAATAAACATACAAATTATATATGATGAACGTTGTATGAATTTTGTGATCTTTGAATTAACTTTTTTTTTATGTAACAAAATTTGCTTACTAAAAATTTGAAGCTGCGATTAATTTCCATAAGAGAAATCATAGTGGTCGTATAATATTAGTCGGGTTGGAAATTTATAAAAAAATAATTTAAAAAAAGTAATGTCGCTAAAAACCAGTTTTGAAGGATATCTTTAGAAAAAAAAGAAACTATCAAGCGTTATTTAAATATATTTCACAATCAAAGTTTCTGCTAATTTTATGTAAATAACATTATTTATACATGTATTCAAGAAACAAAACGAAATTTTAATAAGCTGTGACTAACGAAAAATAAGAACTAACGATAAAATAAGTAAACTTTGTTGTTTTAGAAAATGTGCTTCATCCTTGGCAGTGGTCAAATATTTATGTGTGGAACTGCACAAAAACATTGTCAAATTAAATGATAATGCGCTTTGTAACTTACGTCAAAGTATGTTGATAGGCACAAGGCATTATCCAAACTGTTGTTTATGTGTAAAGGTATGTTCACTATAGACTTAACAATGTGCAACTGGATTGCAAGTATCGCGATGAGATACATGTTCACAAATTTCATCTTATTGTGTGCGTTTACAAATGGGCATTTTTATCATATTTTTTTTCTAATTTGAACTAGCACCTCGCGCATATAGACTATTAATTAAGAGAGACAACATTGGACTAAAGTTTCGACGAGTGGGGACGTAGAAACAACGAACTTGCGCAGTTTTATGTGTGGCGTCAATAATGTATGCGAAATGTATAATATATTTTGTGATTGTATTTAATGTGACAGGTCATAGTTCCTTTGGACAAGGGTTCAATTATAATACGATGCTTCCTGCTACTTATACTTCAATTATTCCAACTGAAACTTTAAAAGTCTAGAAACAAATCTATTGTTCAACTGCATTTTTATATTTTGATACCACAAGAAATGTAATAATAATTTGGCAGAAATTGATCGTTTCGTCCAAATTTGAACCCATATTTATTGGTTTAAACAAAGAAAAGTAATATTAATAAATTATAATTATTGGTTTACGGAAATGTTACATCAAAACAATTATAAAATAGTTAAAATATGCTTACAAACAACAACAAAATTATAATGAATAACATTTATCTATCACATTTTTAGGAAAGTTAAGCAATACTCTTGGATGGGTGACTGTTTATATGATTAACGATATAAAAATCTAATACATAACAGTGGACTTGGTAAAGTAACAAATTTTTGTAATCAATTCATACGATTTGAGGGCTTCATAGTTGATAGTTTTTTTTTGTGAATTAGATAAAAATACTCCAAATTTTAATTATTTAATTTTGTTATCTTGTCAATAGAATCCGAAAGGTTGATAAGGAAATTTATTTTTTTTTGGTAAGTAAGGAAAAGTACATTATATTTAGTAATAATAATGACTTATTTTTTTTGATTTGATTTTTTTCTCTAAATATTCTAATAAAAATCAATCATAATTTAAATTGACTTTAGTAATTTTCATCAAGAAATCCGAGAAGTTGATACGGAAATTATGCTGAAAGTTCATTATAATTAGTAACAATATTGGAGTTTTTTTATATTTCTCTTTAATAAAAAATCTATCCGAATTTAAAGATTTCAGTAATTTTAATGGTAATGGTAACTTTTATATTTTAAAAAAGTTGTCTACAACGTAAAATTAGTAGTTTTTATCATCTATAATGATTTATGATTGTGACCTAGTGTATAATATTAGAACTATTAACCGGACTATGCGAGGTATTGCTTTATAGATTATGATCTTGACATTTTTCTAAAACAATTATTGTTCCACATTGAAATACATTGGTAAATATATATGTGATTACGTAAATTTATTAACAAATAACGGTTATTTATGATACTATTAATTTAGATGGGTATAACGAAATTAAACAAATATTCATGAACAACAGATGTTTAATAGGGAAAATTTCTATTTTTTTTTGAAATAACATAAAATTTATAAATATTCAGATAATCAATATTCATATATTACGAATATCTGAAATAATTTTACACAAAAAAAAAACTAGCGACAAATCAACCAGTAAAAGAAGCACAAACATACAAAATTGCAACATTTTAGACTTAGATTGTAGCGACGTACATATCAGAAGGGGTCTATTCGAAAGCCCGACAACCGAAAGACCTATGTTCGAAATCCCGAGTGTATCGAAATCCCGGTTGTATTAAAATCCCGACTACCATAATCCCGACAATCAAAATCCCGACTATATCAAAATCCCGACTATATCGAAATCCCGACTACCATAAAAATGTTATTGTAGAAATTTATAATAATAAAAGACACTGTCGGGATTTCGATATAGTCGGGATTTTGAGCCAGCCGGGATTTCGAAGGTCCGGATTTCGATAGATGGGATTTCGGTATCAGAGGGATCGGTATCAGAGGTACTACTAAGTAAAGAAGAAGACGAGCGGAGGCCAGCGCTAACATGATCCAACTGAAGTGCCAAACAGGCAAAGACAATCAGAATCGCAGAGTAGTACAGTGATACAGGTGTATCATACTGTATCCTGTATGCTGAAAGGTTTTATTGCGGTAAGAATCACACAGTACCACGACTCCACCCGTCTAAGGTTTCCTCTCTACAAAAAAAACTTATTATAAAAGACTTATCACATAACTGATATTTAGTAATTATTTGTAAATAAAAATAGAAAAACAGGCTTGATTTCTTAAAAAATTCTTAAGATAATGCAGTTCGGATTCATTGTAGTCCGGTTTGAAAATTCGTTTAGTCCGGTTTCCAAAAATCCTGATATTGGCGGAATCTATCAACCAGACTAACCAGAATAATTTCTTTTAGGATATATAAAAAGCTGTTAAAAACTTATTATATGACTTTACCATGGAATTATATAAACCTACGTTTTTATGTCGAATTAACTATTAATAAAAATATAATACTCTTTATTTTATATTGTTAAAAAACTTTAACTATAACCCGTTTGACTATTAAATTGTTTATATTATGGATTATGCAAAATTATGTCTCCAATAACTATGTTTGCTATATATTATTTAATGTATATTTGGGTTAATTTATTAGAAAGCAGACATAAAGAATAACTCGATAAAAAAAAACTATACATTTAAAAAGATATAAAGTAAAGTAATATGATTTTACTTGAAAACGCGTTGTCAAATCCAAAATTGACCCGGATTTGTTACTTATTGTATTGACAGATTTTTTGCTTATTAACAAAAATGGTACAATATTACAGAAATCACATTTAATTTAGCGCCTCATCAAGAAGGGTGTGAAGTATGCCCAAGTGTGCCCCAGACAGGCTAGAAATAGATAAAAGTATTGTTTACTTGAGAGACGTGTAGCGCAACTTAGTAATATTTGCATCAGTCTCACGGTTTCATTACTGTGATTCTAATGTAATTATATACATTAATACAGAGTTGGCATAATAATTAGATTAAATATAATAAATTAAGATATTTTTCTAATTACTAATATGTATTAATATTGCTACTTAATATATTATTAAAGTAGTCGATATTTAAAAAAGTTGTAATGAATATGAATAAACCTTATGTATATAAAAGACTGGATGTAAGCAGTTGACTGCCGGATGAGAAAGACGTGACTCATCGTGGTTCTTCAAGCACCTCTCGATGTAGGGAGGGTACATCCTCCCCAAGGTCTAATGCACCCTTCGTCCCTTAATTACTGGGCGTCGACAACCATTCTCTGTCCTGTCATGGTTGGTTTCTTGGCCATAGTTAATGATACGTAATAAATAAATGTCCTACCTTTTCAATGTTACCGTACAGATGCTTAATTATTTCTACTATTGATGTTGATGATAAAATGATTTTATTCTTAGATACATTTTTTATTTCTTTAGAGGACATTTAGTTGTTAAATAACACTAATTATTATCAGGCAGTTATAAGAATCTACAATGTCTTTATTTTAAGTTTGTATAAGTTATACAACAATACCTCGCATAGTCCGGCTTCGATTAGTCTGGATTCACTATAGAAAACAAACTAAATTTTAATTTGGAAAGACTTTGGTTAATCACATATTTTTTCGACCAAAAAATATGTGAAATAAACTCCTTTTGAGCGGTTTATTTTAGTGTCTGGTTTCAAACAGTCCGGGATATTGACAGAACTGAAGAACTGGTAGTCGGATTTCGATATATTCGGGATTTTGATATAGTCGAGATTTTGATTGTCGGGATTATGGTAGTTGTGATTTTGACACATTTTGGTAGTCGGGATTTCGAACGTCGGGATTTCAATAGATGGTCTTTGTCGGGCTTGCGATATAGACCCTTATGTACCTATATGAATTTCCTTAAAGATTGATTACATTACTAGTTAAATCACTGCAATGTCTTGTAAGAATATTACGAAATTTGTATGACTGATTTTTTTAAATTGAATAATTATATATTATATACAAGCAGTTTTAACCTGTTTTAAATATAGAAATGTCATCTTATTTTATAATCTTTAGCTGATAAGAACTTTCAATTACTTCAGTTAAATCATACAAAATATTTTGAAAACTTTTGGATTTTATAACAGTTTTGTTTCTAAGAATTTTTGCTTTTTTTTCCCTTCCATTTTTTTAACTCTTAATATTTGTAGAAAATAACATTAGGACAATTTAAATATTTGAATTAATATATGAGTTGCAAAAATAAAAGTTAATTTACGATGATTGTAACTGCATTGACTTTGACTTTCAGTAAATTTTGTCAGTGCAATGATATACCAACTAATTAATTAATGACCTTTGATGAAATTCCTAAAATTAATTATACTTATAGATTTATACTATATAATTATAAGGACCAAAGATTTGTAATTGTAAAAAATGTGATATTGAATGATTTAATTACCTTTAGTAATCGTCCTACAAATATTTATATGGAGATTTAAATACGTTTTCCATTTCTTTGATATAGGTTAAAGTAGAAATATTTGCAATATATTTCAAAAAAAATGTTGCAAAATGCATTAAATTGATTCATCAAGTATGTGAATAAGAATAATTTTTACATCCATTTCAGGTTTCATTACCTGAAGATAATTTAAAAGCATTACAAAGGTTCTCAAATTTGAAATACTTATTGTAGATTTTGCTAATTATTTCAATTTTAGAACTATGGTTTATTGGATTAGATTGAATTATTTACAAGGGAAAAGATACAAATACAAAAATTAGAGACTAGAATTACATTAATTAGAGAGTAAAATTTCCATTGTACAAATGTAAGGAATATTTTATTTCAAATTGCGGAGTTGTTGCTTTGGTTGCATATATGAGGAGCCCTATCCAGTATTATGTATATATTTTTTTTTAATTTTATAATGGTTACAAATAATTAGCTTTTTTATAGTATAAATTTAAATAATTTATTTGTTCTTCAATTATAAATTATAGGCATTTCTTTGAACAGTTCAATGGATTGCATACATCAAAATGAATGTAGTGGATTGTACAGATATTCATTATTTATATACGCCAAAAAAAACATCATCATCACTGAATAATAATCATAGTATATTTATATATTATTTGAAGGACTTTGGTTTGAATCAGATTCAAGGAAATTCCTGGTTGACATGCGATGACTTATGCAAATTTTATACACGTTTTTTTGGCAGAAGCTATCATATGGTGTATGTGTTTACAGTTAGTGAAGAAAAGGCGAAAAGCACCACGAGTCGAGGGTTGTGTGCTGAGACGTAGAAGTGGTATTTAGTAGTAGCAAATAGAGTAACTGGTGAAGGACAGTGATCGTGCGTTTTGGATGTACTGGACAGACAGAATTTTTGGATGATGCATGCAACTGGTGCAGCAGCACAGCAAAATGATCGAATCTCATGAGTCGCTCAAAAATCGCATCTATTTCGCGGCCAAAGATGGAATGCATATCGTTCTCTTCGCCCTCCTCACCGATAACATCACCTCCGAAGAAGCCAACGATTTATTGAACGAGGTTAGTCTTCTATTCACAACCAGACGAAAACAAAGCAGACTTGAAAAAGAGCACTTTGAGCCTTTCACATGAGATGATTCTTTGTTCCAGACTCTTTACTCAGTTTCTATATCATTCCTACCTTGAAAATGCACAAAGTCATTGATGTAAACAATAACATTTTTATTTTTGAGCAACAGGAACTTGCTTGATCATTTTCACATATAAACATAATTATATTCTAGAAGGTGTCATTAAATTCCTTGTTTACAGAGATTTCACCTTTACACTGAACATTTGATCATGTTTATTTTCATCAACCTACATCTGATTTAAACATTAACTTTGTGCATTGTTCTTCATATATTATTATTACTTAACCTATAAACACCAAATGCAAATCAGTTATATAAGTAATTAATGTTTCCTGATTAACTTTCTTTATGAAAAATTTACCACAAAAATAGTTAATGGACTGAATGGCCTTTGGATATAAATAGATCCAATTGGTTTTATTGTTTACATGTTTACTGCATGCTATACTTTTGTCCAACACAAATTTCTATTATTATTTTTTCATCTTTCAGAAATATATAGATGAGGATGGTCAACAATCTACCCCCCTGATAATGGCTGCAAGGCATGGCCATGACAATGTAGTGAAAGTAATTGTATCCAACTTTAAAACTAATCTTGAGGAGGAGGGAATTGTGAAATTCGATGGATATGTCATTGAAGGGGCTAGTGCTCTTTGGTGTGCAGCAGGCGGAGGTAACTAAATAAACTTGTAAAAATCAATATTGTTTAACATATGTTCTTTTTTCAGGATACTTAAATGTGGTAAAGACTTTGGTGAAGGCAGGAGCTGATGTGAACCATCCAACACGCACACAATCTACACCATTAAGAGCTGCCTGCTTTGATGGCAGATTAGATATTGTGAAATATCTCACAGAACATACTGCAAACATACATATTGCTAATAAATACAATAACACATGCCTTATGATTGCTGCATACAAAGGCCATTTAGATGTGGTATGTAGCATTTATTACTATTACTATTTTTCCGACGTTCAAGCGTTTTTTATACAACTAATTTTTAATCATAGAAATCAATGTTTTTTTTTAATGTAATAAGATTATGGTATATTTTACAGCTTAAAGCTGAAAATTTTCCAACATGTAAATATAACATTCTAATAATAGATGATTTTAATGTTGTTTAAAGTTAGAAAATGAAGTTGTTAATAATAGAATCGCTCATAAAATCAGCTGTGAAAATAATAGATTTTTATTTTAGTAATGTTTTTTATTGCTGTTTCAGGTGAGTTTCTTATTAGAACGTAATGCGAATCCGAACGAGAAAGCACTGTGCGGGGCAACAGCTCTGCATTTTGCTGCAGAATGTGGACACACTCCAATAGTTAAGAAATTACTAGAATACAACGCTGAGCTGTGGAATGTTAACGATATAGGTATGACGCCTCTGAAGGCGGCGGCCGAGAGGACTAGGTGGGAAGTGGTTGATTTCCTGGTGAATCAAGCTGGCATTGGCAAAGAGGAAATAGTGGAAGCTCTGGAATTACTCGGCGCTTCTTATGCCAACGACAAAGAGTTTTACAGCTTGGAAAGGGCTTTCAAATACTTGCATCGAAGCATGGTGCTGAGATGTAGTGAGTCAGACAACGTGATGAGGAAACGATTGATAAAACCCGTGCCCGCCTACGAATGTTGGGTGGAGTGCGAAAATCTGCAGCAGTTGGAATCGATCCGGTATAATGTCAACGCTTTGCATATGGAATCTTTAACAATTCGCGAAAGGATATTGGGTATCCGTAATCCGGACCTTCCGCATCCGATCATCTTTAGAGGGGCTGTTTTCGCGGATAACGCAAGGTTCGACAGATGCATAGAGCTTTGGTTGCACGCAATTAATCTGAGACAGGCTAATAATATAAGCGTGGTTAAAGATCTTCGGCGCTTTGCTCAGGTGTTCTCGCAGATGATACACCTAGGCGTGGACGTAATCTACGATCACGTGATGCAGGTGTTATCCGCTGTCATCACAGAGCTGGAAAGGAACAAGGAGAAGTTAGCAAGGAAGAGCGATATGGAAACTGTTTTTGTAAGTCTGTTGTAACTAATAATCAACGAATTTTATAGCAGTTTTTGGCTTCAGGAAGAAATGGAGAGCAACATTACAACGACCTTATACATCATAACTATTCTGACGAAGATGATCCAGAGAACGCCGTGCACCGCGGAACAGGAATTCGATATCAGCAGGATGGTTTTCAAACTCAACCAGATGCAACTGAAACATCGAGACGGGCAGACCTTGTTGCATTTAGCGTGCAACGGTGAAACACCGGTGGACGACTTTCATATCAGCGATATTTGCAAGTACGTCTTTTCCTCTTTCGAATTCGCTCGCTGCGCTCGATGCAATTTACATTATTTTTTTTGAATTACAGATTTCCGTGCTCGGAAACAGCCTCTCTACTGATCCAATGCGGCGCTGATGTAAATGCGATGGATATGGATAGGAACACGCCGCTCCACATAATAGTCAATTATCATAAAACGCTCGCTGATTTCATAACCCTTCACACGATCATACTGAATCTTACAGATGCTGGAGCGCACATTGATTGTGTAAATAACGATGGAAAGACACCGCTGGAGTCTGGGAAGAATGGTAATTCATTTGGTAATTGCATTATACGATAAATGTTTATTTATTTCGTTTTTGTTTGAAGGAGTTGCCCAGATCATACTTAAGACCCAGGCCAAGCTAAGCTTGAAATGTATGGCGGCGATGGCTGTGAAGAATCACCAGTTAACGTACAGGGGACAGGTGCCCGAGGCCCTTGAATCTTTCATTGAATTACACGGTTCAAATGTAAATAACTAGTCAATTTTATAAACGAAAATACCTGTGTACATATAACTTCTATGTATTTAAGAGAGTGTAAGTTTTAAGTATCGTTACTGCCTGAAAAATTATCATGCTGCTGAGTATATTTATCTATTTGGGATGAATACGTCTTTTTATTTCATTATGTTTTTATTTTCTTTTTCTTTAGTTAATCGAATAACACGTTCATTGAGAAAGATCTGCTGCTTTAGTTGCTGTTCTGTGAGACTGTTAATATATGTAATTGTTTTATACGATGTTATTTATTTAAAATTTTGATGTTATAGTCGAATGAATGCTTGTTCCTAAAAATAAACATAAAAATAAATACATTTTACAATGATTGAGGAAAATGATGTATTTTTTCATTTTTAATAAAATTGTGTGAGTTATGTATGTCAATTTCTTTACCTATTATATAACTCATCCAAAATTAATACAGTCGATTCCGCTTAATTGGGACACCGGTTAATCGAGACTGCCGCTTTTTAGGGACAAATCCTAAAGAACGGAAACAACCGACCAGCCGCTTAATCGGTACAAATATACTAGTCACAATATTATGTCGTTTGATTCATATAATACCTTAAAAAAATATTTGTCCAACCCACAGTCCGCATGCGGCCTAGGACGACTTTGAATGCGACCGAAACTACGTTTTTTTTTTTACTGATTTTCACAATTGAATAAATTTGATCCTTCAAATTTTAGAATGAACTTATTCTAAAAACATTATACAATAGTTTCAATCTAAAAGAAATCCCATTAACAAAAATGCAATTTTCTAAGATATATTTAGATAATCAACTTTCATTGGATGGACATTTACGGAAGAATGTTAAATAACTTCGATTAATTAATTTACTTTCATTACACGCCCACACGACAAGGAGTGTTCGGTAATAAGAAATTAAAAATATTGAGTTTTATTGAAAGTTGAGGTAGACAAGTTTTGGCCGGGTTTGCCTATATGTGATTTACAATTTTAAGTATAATGTTCATTCAATTGACTTGTTTTATTGCAATATCGTAACAATGATATAATTTCAATATAAAAAAAGTTTAGATTGAAAAGTTTATAAAATTGTTTTCCAAACTAAATTAATGTCAGTCGATGCTCATTTTACACACGTTCGATGATACATACACCATTATTTACCATACTTGAACTAACGTATATATTTGAAAGCCCGACGTTTGAAATCCCGTGTGTATCGAAATCCCGACTACCATATTCCCGACAATCGAAATATCTACAGTGTCTTTTATTATTATAATTTCAACAATAACATTTTTAAATTATTCTACTATATTTTAATAGGTACGACGGATTCTGAAAAAAATATGGCTCTTTTGCCCGATTATTAATTGTTGTTATTTATTCTTAATAACAATAAATAATATTAATTATTATTGTTTTTTTTTCGTTGACTTATTCATTATAAAACTTAAGAATAAGAAATATTCTATAATAAAATTAGTTTATGTTATTAACAATAAATAGCAACAATTAATAATCTTAAGTTTTAGATTGTCGGGATTTTGATTGTCGGGATTATGGTAGTCGGGATTTTGACATAGTCGGGATTTTGACATAGTCGGGATTTCGATATAGTCAGGATTTCAATAAACTCGGGATTTCGAACGTCGGGATTTCGATAGACGGGATTTCGGTTGTCGGGCTTGCAATTGCCACCGATTCGTACATACGTTTGTTTCAATTAACGGCTGTGTACATGTTTTCTTGCTTTCCTTTGTATATATTGAATATGTTTAAAATCTGTACCAACATATGATAAGGGAATGCACTGTACGTTTGTTCGAACATTGTGTACGTTTATGCAAACAAAGATACACATTTTTTTGTAAAAAAAACATAAATAGATGCATTTATTCACCGTATTATTAACGAACAGCAATATTTGTAAAGTTATAATATTAAATGTAATATTATTTTATACTAGTTTTGTCCATAATTATTTCTAAATATTGTTGTTACTAATTTCAAGAATTCCTTCTTTATGCATTGTTGTTAGTTCTTTATTAGAATCAAAAGCCTTCAGCTACAGAAGACGTAACCATGATTATAAGTGTATTAATAAAAGCTAGAATTATCTACCGAACAATCTAGCTATAATTAAATATTATCGAAAGACAACAATAATTGGATTTTTTTTATTGTTTCGCCTTGTTTGCGGTCCAGAGAGCATTGCGCAAGACATCCATTAGTATCAAATTGGTTATTCAAAGGTCTTCTGCGTGCTCTTAAAATTGAATTAAGACGAGAATAATTGGAATCGGAACATCTCTCTTCGCGTCACTAATGCGTAAAGCGGGATTAAGGTTGAAATTAAGAGGAAATTAAGGTTGAAGCTACGTAATTGTGCGTAGGCATTGTTAGTGAATTCTAGCAAATTAACAAGGAAAAAAAAATAATACAACTAACAAACAACACGAGTGGTGTGTTGCAACTAAATGAACTTAAAAAAAACACAGTTTTGGAACTACATCCGATTGTGGGCTTTTGTTTTTTATTAATGATGATATGTGAAGGACCTTAGCGCTATTAAATATTATGACTTACTGCCAAATGAAAAACTTAATTTATTATAGAGTTTATATAATATTCAATATTAATCACATTTCGATGGCTTAATTAATTCGTAATGAATAATGTATTTAAAATGCGATATTTGAATCTTTCTACATCTCTTTTTTTTCTTTATTTCCATTGAATCAGAATGAATCCAGTGAAAATATTTATAAAGTAAATAAGTTATTAACTAAAGTCAAGTGCATTTGATGGCGTAGAATCCATTTTATGGTCCATTCTAAAGTTAAGTTATTATGAAGTTATTAACACTAAACACATTTAAATTTATTAACAGGTGTTAGAAAAAAAACGAAACAAACTACGTTTAATTACAAATCCTAGTGATTTGTGCAGAATTGTTACAAGTTTATTTATTCGCAGCCGTTGCATCATATTTCACTAACAAAACTAGCGAGCGCAATAAAAGCCGTGTTAAATATTTTTTTATTCACTTTTTTTTTGTTTGTTTACAAATAAAGCGGTTGTCGCTGCAGCCGATGTTACACAATTATAATTAATTTCGTCCAGTAATTAATAACGCTCTGTGTTTCTTTCTCCTTGGAGGCTTTGTATAGTTGTAAACACAATTCGCGTCAAGTGATATTAAACTCTTTTTTTTTGTTTCTTGATTGTAGTTAAAGGCATTTGTTTCGAGCGACATTTAGTTGAGACCTATTCAAATATCGAATGGGGTTAATTTCGAACGGGCCCCTATTCATTGCATTCTTGGGTCTCGCTAACGCAACGAATGGAAATTTCCGGTTTAAGGACGCTTCAATCTAGGACGGATTAATGTATTCGAATGATAATCAACATTGTGCGAAGTCGTTAGCAATTCAACGATCGTAGCCAATTGTTACCTCAGGTCAGGAGTGTTCTTTAAAATTTGCATCATTACTTCTTGTGCTGTTTTTTCTTAGTTTATTATTGTATACTTGAAATTGTCATTTAAGCCTTATTTGAAAGTTTTTTTTTATGTCGTATGATTTTATTCACAATCTGTTCATCAATGTGGACATTGAATAAATTTAAGATCTTTCCCGGTGGATAGTTACAATTATGATGATTTGATTTTATAATTTGTTGGTTTGCTGTTGTCTTGTAGGTTAACTTCAGTAGTTCAATAGTGATTCCACTATTTCCTTTGATTGTGAATCTGCTGCTATCATTAACTCTGTCATTGTCCATCGACTTGGCTGAAAAGGATCAAATGCTGAACCTCATTCATTTGACTGTCCATCTGTGATGAACGATGGCCCTATTGCAGCAAGCACCAAGAGGACTCACAAAGGGCCTGGATTGACCAGGATATCAACCGGCGCCCACGAAATCGTGGGTAAGACGACTTAACCATTCGGCTATTAGTCGCCCTGCTTATTTGAAAGTAAACATTATTAAATAAATTATATAATGGTTATGTAATATTTTTTAATTCGTTTTTAAATTTTATACATTTAAAATAAAATCAGTGTTTCGATATAGTTATTGACTCAATTGACTTAAATAGTGCATTCGTAAATATGTTGATTAAACAATGAAATTATGTAATTAACAATTTCTCTGTGCACATCTTGTTCCTTTTTTTTGTAACGTAGATTGGTTATGTAATTTTAATAAACGCACTTAGGTCTGAATAAATATACGTAAAGACATAAATTGATGTACGTTATTTGAACAATAAAATGTTGTATAAATGTATATGATTTACATTTATATGGTTATATCAGTTTCTTCGTTCGTAAGATCATACATTGCTTTCAAATTATTATCGTATGTTGATTGATTAATGGAATTTTATATATTAGTGCATGGATTTAACGTTTCTCAGTGCATATCTGTTTCTTCATTTACTTTACTCTTGTAAATTTAATAAATGCAGCTCGAATTTAAAATAAATAATTCATGAACATAAAATTGATGTAATTTAATTGATCAAATAAATTCTGTATAAGTGTATGGATTATATATTTTTGTGTATCTCTTTGTTCGCAAGAACGTATATGATATTCAGCCAATATAAATTTTGTCATTTGTAATATCAATTATTTTTCACATCACATCACATTATTTACATCTGTATACATATTTTAATTTAGTTTTATATATGTTTTCATAAAAGTTCTAGAAAAAGAACTCCAAGCATTGATCAGTCAGACTGATATCATTGTACGTTCATACGGATATATTCAGAGAGTTATAAATTATTATTACTTACTTCTTATTTTTTTATTAATTATAAAAAATACAGTTTCACAATAACCGATGATTATGTGTACGTGTACGTACAAAAGAATATTGTATTTGATGACATATTAACAAACTTAATGTCTACTGTGTTATATAATAGATAAAATAGAAGACAATGAACATGAGTATAATAGAATATATTGTTGTGGTTATACAAATATTAACAAAATAAGATCAGATAGAACAAAATTCGAAAGTAAACTGTTGTATTAAATTCATTTTTGGGAAAACAAGAAAGTGTTTCTACTTCAGCAGTAAATTAGTTTTAACAAATCCAAGATGCAATTACAGATAAATCTTCAAGTTTTCTAGAGATTTAGATAAAAAAAGTAAAATTGAAAGTTTTAAATTATAAATAAGGAAAACCAACAAAAAAGCTTTTGTTGATAAAAGGATATCAAATTTGGTTTAGGTATCCAAAATCTTCCAGTATGAAATAAATGTCATAGTATTTTTTTATACTTTAATTGATTTTGCAATCACTCCAAACTTTAATTGGCGATATTTCATTGC